TCTCTGATTTTCTGAAAATGTACCAAAAAGCCTGTGTATAAAGGGAACAAACGCTTTAAACAGTGCCATCACCAGGCATCTCCTTGACGCGGATCATGAGGAGGACGTTGCAACATCGTTCATAGTCATCAATAAGCAAAAGATTTCATTTCTTCTTAAGTATGCCTACACAATCTCCATCAAGCTCCTGAAACGCGATTTATGCATTCAGAAAGAAACGGTTATCAGTATTTCCTTGCCCTAGTAGCTGAATATTTTTGTTCTCTCTTTCATCTGATTACGTAATCTTAGGCTTTAACCTCACCCCCTTTGACAGAGTGTCTATTGTTCCTATAATTTGAGTTGAACTCAGTACACTTTAACCTAATTTATTAGTCACTCATCATCTTACGCATCTCTCATCTTTGTCACGTAACTCCTTTATTATCGTATGCATACATTTGAGCCTCGGTGGGAACATCATCACTCACTGAGAAATACAGGTACATTCAGCTGACAAGTCCCAAATAGGACGAAATGTGCAACCTGGATTCCACTGCTGGTCACCATCCACCAATTAAATACATTTACTTTGTCTAAACTTAAACGCCCTGTGCCAAAACTCTATAAGTATTATTTTCTGAGCACTGTTCACTAAGTCCAGAACCTCCTATCAACTGACATCATGCAAAATTTGCAAGTATGTTAAATCTTTTCTGTACATGAACTTGATACTAATTTATTTAGGCTGTAAGCAGCAGCTGATAAGAAGCCATCGAAATAAATGATGGCACCATATTATTCTGAACAAACTACTGCTGTTCTTGTTTTATTCAAATTCATCAAGGGGAATAAATGTATTTTCAACAGTTGGTTCGTTAAGATTAGATTTGTTTTTACGAGTTGATCACAGATTGTAATCAGTTAGAGAACTATTGAAAACCAGGGAGTACTGGACAACTAGGATGAAACAGCCGTCCACTAATCCCTGGTTTTCAATGGTTCTCTAAATGATAACAATCCGTGATCAACTCGTGAGAATAAATTCATGAATTTATCGTAATCAGTCTCTCTGGATCTAGTTTAATTTTTGTGTACTAATTTCCTAACTGATCTCAGTCATATATTTGACCTATGCAACTGACTGCACAGTAATATATGTGGAAAATTAGAGTCAACAGTAGGAAGGAGAAAAAAGCTTATATATAGCAAGTTAGACAGTTTTGTGAATACATTCAAATGATTATGACCGATAGATTATGATATAAACGTGTGAGTTCCAATGGTGACATGGAGGAGATCGTGTGAAGAGGAGTTTAAACAGTATGGACTAACATGGATGCAGGTGAAAACTACAGGAGAGAAGAAGACAGAAGCAAGTGGAGACGTGGATTTGAAGCCCTATGTTCCACTAGGAACCCAAGGGAACAGTAACAACAATAATAAATAATAATACACGTGTAAGTGCATCCCAATGACCAGGCGTTTTTTATTTGCACAAAATCACACAATAATATGGGATAGGATTAAAATATTGAAAAGTGATACAGTTAGATGTAGAGAGAAATGAATCATTAAGTCCTTGTCCAACCAAATAACGCCACATACTTGAAGTGGAAGTGACACAACGCTTATACCAGATACACGAAGAATTGCAATAAAAACACCAGGGCCTAAGACTATATATATGGCAGGTTATCAAATCATGTGAACACGTTGATATGGTCGTGAATAACCGGTTGTGCTCAGTGATTAATGCTGTGTCACTGTGTATCATATCAAATATCCTTGTCTAACATGAAGTTATATCCTATCATATCGCCCATGTTCTACTAGCACACAGATTTCTAGCCTTACCACGTTTTCTTACTTTTACCGTAACAAGATACCTTGGAGTATTTTAAGTGGAAAATCTTTTATTCCTCCATAAAATCAACCCCTCAAAAACATCATTATTTATTATTATTTAATTCCACAGTGCCCAAGTTTTACACATATATTATTCAATTCCTTTACGTTCTGGTAGCAGTGCTGTTTATGTTTACGAGATTGGGTTGCTAGCCTCATGCCCAACCTTCCCTCTTTGCCAGTTTTATTACTGGGTTAGCAAGGTATAGGTGTGAATCGACCGGGGATCGAACTTCGAACCACCTACGTGGTTGGTGAGCATTCTCCCGCTGTGCCACCATCACGCAGACACAAAAGCATCTGTTCACTAAATACTGCACCTGAGAGAACTAGAAAATTAGTAAACTGGTGATGATCTTAAAAAACAATGAAGTATTATAATGTAGTAACAGACACAACACTTTTATCTTAAGATGTTTTCGTTTGCTATTTAAAAAAAAAATTTCGATTCATTTTGGTTCACAAGAAGCATAAACACTTATAAAGAAACTTATATGGATCTTAGAAATGAGTATGCACAATTTCACTGAGATTATAAGACTTTCAGGTTTAAAATAGCATGTAGACAACAGAAAACGTCTTTCATAAATAGAAAACATTGATTATTTTTATGTGAGATTACTTTGGTCTGGAAACTGTACCATAAAGAAACACACAAAAATCCAGATTACAGACTAAGATGATTTTGAGTGACAGAAGCCTTTTCAGATCTAATGGTTGTATCAATATCTCAAATCTTCACGGCCTATAATCAAGGCACCGATTGTGTACCTAGATGGGGTTTAAAAAGGCCAATAAATAGTGGGTTCTGACTAGCAATATTCCGTTACTATCGCTACAGATTTAGAGAGTGCTGAATCCTGTTTCCAACAAAGCGAGCAGCTGAATTTTATGTCATCGTCAACCTCAATTTGCCTGTTTCATAGTCCAACAAGATCGTGATGGTATCGACTTGTTATCTGTTTGGGTAGTAGTTAACTGCAAGCAATATGACAGATCATTTAAAGAAGTACCTCAGCCAGTGGCGCATCAGTAGATAGATTAGAAATAATGGCAATATAAGGAGGTAATTGAATTTGGAGTTACTGATTGTAGGTACATTGAAATATTGTTGAGTATTTAGAATCCCAGGTTTATCGAGGAAAATTTCAACCTGTACGTATAACTTAAAAGCGTACAAGTGGTGACCCAAAATCTTTTGCTTTACAATCAGTCCATTTTCAGAAATTAGACAATGAGTTCTGGACAAATAAACCCGACCAATAGCGTATTTCAGTAATTTCAGGATTCTTGAAAATCTTTTTGATATCAATCTTGTGATTCATATCAATTGAGTGTTTTGCTGTAAACAAAGTTGGTAGTCTGCCACCTGCGTTTATCTAGATTTTACACTCCTGTCGACTGACTGGACCGAAGTGTTTGGTTTCAGGTTGACATGTCGGCTTCTTGTGCATATGCTTTGGCGATGTCTAATATGACTCGTTGCACAAAAGGCAGCTGTCGTGGCCAAAGCGGTCTAGTGGCATTTGAATCTATGGTCACTGGGTTCGAGCCTCGGTAGGAACATCATCATTCACTGTGGAATGCAGGTACATCCAGATGCTGAGTCCCAAATATGACGAAATGCGCATCTTGGATTCCACTGCTATTCACCATCCACCAGTTAACTTTACACCCCACAATTACTTTTGTGACCTGATAGTCGACGTTTTGTCTTTATGAATTCCTTGTTACCGTTTGGTAAATCTGAACATTGTCAGTGTGTCTGTCGACTGCAGATCCGTCTGAGTATCGGGCTTTAAGGAATTCACTGGTATCTCTTTTTTTCTAAGATTCGTACATATTTCTAGCCGAATAGCTTTCTACAGTTGTCCACATTTAGTTATATGAGGGAGTGAATATCTTCTAACAGCCAGTAAGTGTTCGGAAATGCAAAAATGAAGAGAACTTTCCCTTTGACCAATATACCTTCTTTTCACAGTTATCACAGTTTATCTAGTGGACGACGGTGTTTTTGTTTTCTTTTGGAGTTTCATCTTTTGGTTGACATGACACACACTGAAGTGGTTTGTGCATGACGTCTATTCCAAAAATCTTCATCAATAAATGCGGTGTTTTTGAGATGTATTTTGCCTTTTTCTATGAATCATTTTGAGTTGGTTGGTTCAGTTTAGGCATCGGCATCTTTAGATATTTCTTAGGGATTAATTAACACACGCAATTATGAGGATTTGTTTTGAATTAATATATTCAAAGATAAATTATGATTATTGGTGCAGTATGGGTGATTGAATGAATTCACCAGCTACATTTTTTATTCACCATTTCTATTTTGTAGTGAATGATGTTTTTTAAATTTCGGATCATTATGTTTAAACTTTCACATCCTCAGTCTTAGTGCTTTCTGATTCATGCGCAGAATCTAAGTGTGATCATGTGAACAGCCACTCTCTTATATTAGTTCTGTCTGTAGTAATTCCTATCTCCTTAACTCCATTAAATACTCAACCCTTACACTGAAAATTTACTATTTAATTAGTTAACTTTTACTTATGTTCATTTGTTTAACTGAAATTTTAGTTATTGATTATTTTGCACCTGATGTGATTTCATTGTGAAATGAAAAGTGAAAATATTAGTGTATAGAACGGGAAAGATACGCATGTGTACTTGAGACTCTGTAATTTAATTGTGGAAGATGAATGTATATTATGATGATGAATTGCAACTGTTGGAGTCCAATAAGTTCAGAGCGAGAGCACTTGGTCACACGCATCACCGACAGACCGTCAGTTTATATCACAAACTGAAATCTTTTGAATAGTACAGGCTGGTAAAATCGGATGAACTCGTTAGAAAGTTTAAAGTACTGGCAATTTTCACAAATTTCTCTTGCTCTACCTCATATGGGATGAGGGAAGCTGGTAGTTCCTAAACTAGGTGCAATCAGTTTCCACTGTTCCTAAGGAATTCTGACTCATAATATATATATATATATATATATATATATATATATATATATATATACCTTAGTTCGTTAAACTAATCATTTTCTTTCTTTTTCTGGTGTTTCCGGTAATTGCTGTTCCCTTCATGGTGAAAATCCACTCCAGGTTGCGATAAAAATGATAGACAAGATCAAAATGTTTAAAAACTATCGAGATAAAGTAAGTTCGAAAAATTTTGAATTATATTCATTATTGAAAATAATGTCTCAACCTTTTCATATGCTGCCACACATTTCGAAAGTACAACTGAAATACAATGTAATACAGTTAAGAATGAAATCTATCATAGTGAAAAATGCATTTGACAGCTAGGATGAAAGAAGAACAATTATAAAGCTCTGAGAAACTGGAGCCAGCTGACTCTTATTTAGTATTTAAAAAACTCTTTTGACTGTAGCTTGATTCCACTGCGTATTTTCTGTACAAGTATGGAATTTTCAGCATGTGATATCGGTAGCTGAAATTTTGCAGGCCGACCATGGATATCACTTGTGCGTCGGCAGGAGACCATTTGCATGGTTCGCGAGAGTGCCCTTAGGGATTCGGGCGGAAATAGGTTTCCAACAACAAACCTCCATTTCACCCTGTTCTCTGTAGTCGTCTTTAATTGGATCGACGATCACTTAAGTCTCTTATCACCTCCTCACAAGGTCTCTTCCACATCACTTTCTGAGGCTTAATTGGCAAATTTTCCATTTGGTTTCCACTCTAGGACTTAAAGCGGTCTCTTTCCAGTCTATCTCCATTTTCCTCAACATACTCGTTGACATATAGGTTCTTTGTCCGTTCACAGAGTTCTCTGTTGTACATTAATTCTAACCAGCCATCTAATCTTCAGTATGGATTCAGTGAAGGTAGATGTTGATAAAAGTCTTAAACCTGCTGAAAATGCTTTTCATAATGCGCCAAGATTCTGACTCATCAGGAAGAACTGACTTAAGTGTGATTATGAAAATCTCAGTCTTGTACTTGTCGTTTAGTGCAGAAGGTCTGCATTACCCTTTCGATTCTGGTTTTGTAATCTTCATCCGTACTATGGTCTGTAGTTGAAGCGATGACGCCTATATAAGGGAAGGAAGTAACCACTTTCAAATTTTTGCCACTGCTAGAGATTGAAGCTTGTTATTGATTGATTGGGTATTTGCATCACCTTCATCTTCTCAAAGTTCACTTGAATTCCTGTCGTTACTGCTAATTTTCACCAGCTTGTTAGTTTTCGCCTGTATGTCTTGGACTGTATATGACGTTAGCCATTAATCATTAACGAAATCAAAATCCTTTAAAGTCTTCTTATAGGCTCAATGTACTCCTGTGTTTTCGCTCCCCATACTGTGTCTACGGCATAATCCTATTGACACCACAATCAGGTATCTCATCAGCGATAGCAGGCAGCTTTTTCTTACTCGTCACCCCCCCCGCCCCCCATCAGTGGTTTCTCTTAGTTTAACATTATCGATCACCTAACAAGATTTTACGAAATTCACGTTGGAAATGTTATTGATTTCAAATAGAAGTATGTGCACTTTTGTAACCACTTGTAAATGGAAAGTGTTAGAAAAACTGTGGAGAAGAGACTTTTATTTCATAGAGCTTCAAATTTATTTGACCAATGATGATTAGAGAGCATAAATTCAGACCACCAGTATGTGTTCAAAATATCATCCAGTAAATAATACGGTTTCACAATGTGTGATATATCTAATTATCAAATTAATATAAAATCACTAGTATGCACCTCCATTAACTCGTCTCAAGTGAAATATTTGATTAACGTCTTCTTAAAGTGAATTCTGACTCAGTGAAAATGTTGAAAAGGGATGCGTACTGATAAAGAAGTAGTATTTTACGTATGGAAACGTGTGACCAATTGAAAGTTATGTGTTTTATACTCTGTAGAAAGAAGCTTCCCCTTTGAGTACCTAAAACAGAAAGGTCATTAGCTTTGTTTGACGAAAGGGTAAAGACGATAACTGTTTAAACTTGTTATACACGGTTTTTTTAAAAATGAGTACTGTGAAGCTTGATCCTTATAAATAACTTTATCGATTGGTATAAGTCTTCAAAAATTAAGTCGAGATGTTTCAGAGCTACTTAGAACGTGAATGCCGCATAAATAGTTTGCTGACCATTTCAGAGGAAATCCTTTTTCATACGAAATCCCAGATCCTTACAGTATTATAAGCTATTCACAATACCCTTAGTTTAACTTCCATTTATCCGAAATTTCTGATTGGTTGAGACTCAAAGGAACATTTGTTCCAGTAAGAACAGTTCAGTTATTTATTACTGTATAGCTGCAATACAGCAGCTGTGTGTTGTAAGCACCACCCGTTGAATTACATATATGAAAACAAAACAGGATGTCAAATAGAGAATCGAGAAGGCGAGAAACACATTCATCAACCTGAAACCAATCTGGAAATCTTCGTCACTCAGCATCAGCAACAAAATTCAGTCGGATTTTTAATACAAACGTCAAGTCAGTGAGTTCTTCTATACGGATCGATCATAATATTGGCGGGTGGGTCACAAAGAATATTTGCAACAGCCTGTTGCAGACCTTTATCAACAACTGTCCTCGCTCTATACTGAAGATGAGATGGCCGGGCCGGAAAGAATCACCAACAAGAAACTATGGGAACAAACAAAACAAGAACCAATCGCCAACCAACAAATATGCAGGAGAAAGTGGAAGAAGATGGACTGGACACTCGCTCGCTGAGGAGGCCGCTGGGTGACATCGCGCGCGCGTCAGGCCATTTTCTCGAGTGGAACTCGAAAGGGAAGCGACGAGTGGGACGTCAGTCCAAGGGTGGGTGACATGGAGGAGATCGTGTGAAGAGGAGTTGAAAGGGTATGGACTAACATGGATGCAGGTGAAAACTACAGCAGATGGAAGACAGAAGCAAGTGGAGACGTGCAGCTGAAGCCTTATGTTCTACTAGGAACCCAAGGGAACAATAATAATAATAAAACAAAGCATTAATATTGGTCTATTATTCTGTATAATTCATATTTACAGCCAGTAACACTTCCAAATTAATTTAGTGCTGAAAATTTCGCCTAACAGGGCATATGAAATCTTCACAATTAAAATCATCCAGATTAGCTAGCAAATACAACAGCATAGAAAATCATCCACCACAGCTACAAAACCTTGTCTGTCTCGAGTAATTGAGAAGATTTCTTAGAGTTATGCGTATTTATCTAGCTAGATATTTTAACAATATTTGTTGAAAAAGAAACAACGATTCCAAATATGTGAAAAGAATGTTTCATAGTAAATAAAATTTTCAATCAAAATTAACATATGAATAGCAAACAAAACTCATTGACTCTAATTTAAGTATTCCACATTACACAGTATCAAAAATATATATGGGCATGTGTCGTTCAACATTATCGAGGTTGCAAATCAATCTGTATTTCAGACAAATAAAAAGCTCTTGAAAATCATTCTGTTCATTTGTGGGTGAAGTGAAATGAACACAAGTTCACACTGGATATAATCTGGTGTGCTATTTCTACTATGTAATTCATCAAGATTACTTACTAGTAAATCAATTGATGTAGGTATTTTAAATTAAGAAGTTCTTCAAATACTCAAATTCTCTATTGTATAAACAAAGTGTGTTTTTAAGTAACTTCACTTGTTATAAATTCTGTATGAAATATGCATGAAAGTAATCAGTTACATGTATTTTCATTAAACAAGACATTAATTGTACATTATCGTTTAGAAAACAAAAATGTCAGTTATACTATAGTCAATTATTGAATCTTGATTCTGATGAAACATTTGGTCCATCGAGGGAGAGGGCTCTCGAGTGGTTGCGTCACAGGATGATCCTTCATGCCAGTCTCGTCTCGCAAGAGGCAGGGATGGGTGTGTTTTGTTCTCCTGAAAACCAATGTCCAGTCAATTGGTGTATCACTGTGTGAATTGTGCGTCGGTGGCACAGTGGTTAGGACTCTCGCCGACCATGCACATGATCTGAGGTTCGATCCCCTGCCGACGGACACCTGGTATCCATGGTTGGCCTGCAAAATTTGGGCTACTGATATCACATGCCGAAAATTCCATACTTGTACCAAAAATACGGCGTGGCATCAAGCTGCAATAAAAATAAAAAAAGTAAAAATAAATACAATTTTTTTTTGAAATTGTATACACTATTGGTAGACACTTTATAGACAGTTCTAGATTTTGTTGACAAATGATATTTAAGCGAACACTGTTGGTTGACATCAGTGATTACCTACCATCCATATCAGTGTATTGTGCTGAAGACTGTATGTTCCGATCTGAATACGTTGAGTTTCTAAACAAACCTTTGGTGAACTTTCTCCTTGAACTGTGCATTCTGCAAATAACTATTTGTGTTTTATTGTATTACCATTTTGTTAAAGTAGATAACCACAACTAATTTGATTCTTTGAGTGGAGTCAGGATGAGTACTCTTCTAGCGATGTCATTAATATTTGAAAGAAAGGGCTGTCTAGTGACTCTAAACTATAGCAGACCAAAACAAAACTACCTCCAGCGACCAATCAGATACGTCAGAAGTAGGAGAGCGTAATTTGAAATAAACGTCTATATACAAGTAATGTTATGTTAAAAAGTGGTTACATAAGAAAGTATTCTTGTATATGTTTCAAGAAAATCTCCTAACTTTTCATAGGAGTTCTCATAGTCAGGTTAAACCTATTGCTGTACTTAAATTCTTCAAGGTTATCAATCTGTTCATTGGGTAGCTTGGTTTCGGGATGCTATAGTTTACAGTCACTGCGTTCATATCATCTCATATTTGCTGACAAACAGTGATAGTTGATTTCAGTGGTTCCAGTTCTTTACATAGTTCAGTAGTATAAAGTATATGTAAAAAAATTATATTTGTAAAATCTCAGTGAGTAATTCCAACGTTTCGTACGGCAATCTGGTTCACACTTCTTCGGGAAAATTAATCGAAATTGAATTGTTTTGCAATCGAATTAAGTTAACAGAGAAACTATGTAATTGGCACAATCATCGTGTTTTCACTCTCCATTGTCTGCAACAAAATGCATATCCTAAATCCGTAGCTGTTGAGTCACCTGACAACTCCAGTAGGTCGAATAAAGCAGCTCAATCTTCAGAAAGAAGAAAAGCAATTAGTTCT